CCCAAAGTCTGAACATGTATGATCTTGATACTCCCAGAAGGAAAGAAAGAGGAATATATGAAGAGATCATGAGATAAGAGAAGCAGTTATTTTATGAGATAATGGCCAAGAATTTTCCAAACTGATGAAAGGTATCAAACTCACAGACTCAAATGCTCAGTCAAACCTAAGCAAATTAAAAATAAGTCACTAGGCTGAATACAAACTATTAAGAATTAATACTAATTTGAAAAAAACAAATCTTAAAAGCCAGAAGAAAAAAGACATTGCCTCGAAAGGGCACCAGTAAGACTTTTAAATAGCAACTATGGAAACCAGAAGACATTACAAAGTGCTAAATGAGAATTTTATAGCTGGGGAAAATATATTTTCAAAATTAAGGCAAATCAAGGATTTCTCAAAAGCAGAGAAAAATCATTACTAGCAGTCATTCACCACATCAAAAAAAGTTCTTCAGGCTGAAGGGAAACTATTCTGATCAGAAGAGAGGAACTGTAGGAGGGAATTAAGAGCACTGAAAATGTATGTGGACAAAGGAATATGGATGATCTACAACAAAAATTAGGTCTTACTGTGTTTACTAACACACGTATAAGCATAACAAATTAAAACAACAGCATAGAGGATGGCAGGAGGTAAAAAGAGCAAAGATGTTGTAGTCCTTACATTGTCTGGGATGTGGTAAAGTATTAATATAAGGTTGGCTATAATAAACCAAGGACACGCATTAACACCTCTACAGGAACCACTAACCGAGGTCTACAAGGATATATAACTAAAGGGTTAGAAGAAAAAAAAAAAAAATGACACCACGTTGTTTGTTAAAGAAATACAAAAAGGTACAACTTCAAAAAAGGCTGATTTACAATAATCTATCCTAAAGATGACGCAGGAAAAAATACAAAAGCTGTGTTTTACTACTGCAATACAAGGAAGACTGGAAATGACCTGAATGTCCAACAGAGGACATGCTAAATAAACTTCAGCCCCACGGCGGAGCACTATGCAGCAGCTATAGAAAGTGAACCCCAAAATATTGTTAAGAGCAACATAAAGCGTATAAAGTTTACTACTCTTATCTTAAAAAGGCAGCGCGTGTGTGGAATAGATAATATGAATTTGTTTTTGTTTTCTAAAGTAAATAACAGAAGGACAAGCCATAAAATTAACAAAGGTTATTTGTGTGGGAGGAGGAAGCAAGGCAAAGGGAATCGCAAAAGATGATAAGACGTCTCTAAACACACCTTATTTATTAATAATTTGACTTTTTAAAGCATGTGAACATCCCATAAATATAAAATTGAAGTTAAAACTTAAAAGCAATCTCTAAGAGTTAAAAGCAACACAAAGCAAATGAACCAAACCAATGTGGCAGCCTGAATATAGAAGCAATCATTTCAAATTACTTTGAAATCCAAAAATCTGACCACAAAGTGAGTCCCAACAAACACCATAAGAAAAACCGTTCAAAAATTAAAACATTCTCATTCATATTACTTTTGGTGTTACGCTGAAGTTTGTACTGTAGGAGAAAGTAAACAGAGGACTATGATATTATCACTGGGAACTGGAATTTGTGGCATGGGAGGTACACGATAAAGGTAAATAAAAATCTTGCAGCCCTAAAATTTGAATTGGCATTAAAAGTAGGAACTCCTTATTTTTATTTTAAAAGATAAAATACAATTATTTTCTAGGTTTGTTCATTACAAGCATCCAATAAGAAAGATCACCCAGGTATAAACGAATATACCTAGACTCTAGGCAATGGGCTCTAAATACTATTTCATGTAAAAGAAACCAGGGTGTTCTGAAAAAATCCCTAATTTCAGATATTTGGGGTGGGGGTGGTGCCTGACATATCAGAGAGGAAGGAAATTAACAAAAACTACTGGGATCAAATCAAAAAGATTCAGAAGCCAACCTAAAAAAGATCCCATTGCCCAATGTGACAATTTAATCAGTAAAAATCACAGAAATGTCTAAAAACATGTCTGCACTTGACAGTGATATTTAAAACCACAATGGCACTTTGGAGGAAGCAAAAACCAACTACTTTCCAAACTGGTAAATAAAGGCGAGAAAACCACTTTTCCTGTTACTCTTCTGTGTAGCAGAATAGAAGGGAGATACTCTTAATAGATTTCTACTTAAAAATCACCTCTTTTACTTCTAATAAATGAAGTCTGGTCATCAGATGTGAGGTACCATCATTTTATACTCCCTGTCATCTAGACACTGAGTTTTGATGGCAGAAGAGACAATCAGACTTTAAGGTACCTCCTGTATTAGAACCCACTACCACTTCAGCAGTCTTTCCCCACCAAGGGACTAAAGAAAGAATCAAACTTGAATCTGAAAAATCCTCTGGATCCAACTGCCAGTTTACAGAGAAACACATTGATGATATTCAACAGATGGAAACTTGACACCCATCAGACGGTAATTATTAAAGGAATCACTAGCTTAATTTTGGGGGTATGATAACGATAATCTGGGGGTGTGTATGTGTGTTTTAAGGGGCATTACCTTGAGCTACATGATAAAATGTTTATAGGTAATATTATATAATGTCTGGGATTCATTTCAAACAATGTGGGAGAAGGGAATGTGGGCAAGGGTAAAGACAAAGTAGGCAGTGCTGAAGCTGGGTCACGGGCCTGGGGGGACAACACTTCTTTCTACTCTGGTTCTAATCTATGGCCTACATTAATTTCATATGCAATGGTCAACCCTTAATATGGGTTTGAGATACTTTACTGTTAATACGCTCAGGCAGCCCTGCAACATGTTTTCTTCCTAGCCTTCTCTAAGAAATAAATGAAGTGGCAAAATAAATGAATCAAATTTCTCTCAAGAGAAAAAAAAAAAAAGAAGACGAAGAAGAAGAACTTAAACACACTAACTGATGGCAATGTACAGATCACATTTTGGTCCTGATTCAAACAAAAATTTTAACTGGATTTCTGAGAGGCCTAGAGCATTTGCACTCTAAACAGGCATTTAATAAAAGTAAGGATTCCTCTTCACAGGACCACAACACTGTCTAAAAACTTTTGTCCTTATAGTTACAAATTCAATGACATGCAAATGAAATGGTGCCTAGGACTGCCTGAAAAAGGATTTGAGAGAAAGGTTGAGGATGTAACTGAAACAACAGTTGCTGTGGACTGGTAATTGTTGATGGGTTCATGGTTCATGGAGGTTAGTCTACTACTATACCCTCAACTTTGGGGTGTATTTGATCATTTCTGTAATAAATATGTCCTTCCCCTTTCCTAAGGCCTTCAGTGGTTCCTAAGTACACGTACTGGGTTAAACCCCACACTGGCCCAAGGCCTGCCAAGCCCTACCTGACCTATCAAGTATCTACCCCTCATAGATTTCATCTTTTACAGCTTAACTCGTTCCGCAGGCCCCTCCTGCTATGTCTCCAACATGCCAAGCTAATTCCCACCTCTGGTGGCGCGCTTCATCCCCCCTCAGACCCGTGTGGGGCTGGCTTCCTCACTTAAGGATCCACAAACTCACCCTGCCTCAGAGAAGGTTTCTCTAACCAGCCTACTGATATCCTCTCACCAGCCGACTTACATCCTTGTTTTGTTCTGTTTTCCTTCACTGCACTGATGCTATCTGAAATTTTTCTATAGGACAGCTGTCTTCCTCATTGTCAGGGTCACCCTCTAGCATGGAAGCTCCATATGGGAAAAACTCTGTATATTATCCTGTTTATGATTCAGGACAATCCCAGTACCTAATAAATGACACTAAATCAAAATCCTCACTCAGAAGTTCGTGAGAACTTTGCAAAAGGGCACATTATCTGAGAGCTGAGTGTCAGGGCAGCAAAAGCAAAACCACACCAAACCCAAATACCAGCTGCTTCTTAAATTTCCTGTCAAATGCTAAGGCCAGAAACTTGAAAAGGACTTAAGTATAAATACACACATGTGAGCATATGTCCGCACAGTGCATCAGGTTTAAAAAACAAAAAACACCTTAGAATACTTGATGGAAAATTCTATGAGCACATATTAGTAACGTCAGAGTTAATAGGTCTCAGTTAACACTTCAGAAATTTTAAAGTTAATCAAGACAAGTCTAAAAATAGCCTGCTGATTCTATGGAAAACATTATCAATGGAATTATTAAAAAATGCTTAAATGCAAATTTTGTTTAAGAAAGCTAAAGATAGTATGCTATACCAAAAGAATTTAACTGGATTTGTAATTATGCAAAAGTTATTCTTGTTACAAACTGCCACTTCAAGAGTCACTGTTTTGTCTACCATATATGACAAGATCTCTGGATTATAATATGTTAATTTGATTAAATGAGTCGAGCGACTCGTAATTCTGCTGAGAAATCTTTTCTCTAAGGCTCAGCTCTACGACTGACTGTCTCATGGATTAAATTTTATTATGCCACAAAAAAATTCAAGATTCAAACGTATGCAAATCATGCAATCAGATGCTATAATATAATCAATGCAATCATTTGAGATTCTTTACTATCCTAGAGTTAAACAAAGATCCAATCTTGCCATAAACTCTGGATGGTTTTCTAATGATTCCAATTCAGTAATCAAAAATAAAAGTACAAGGGGCGCCTGGGTGGCTCAGTCAGTTAAGCGTCCAACATCAGCTCAGGTCATGATCTCACGGTTTGCGGGTTCAAGCCCCACGTCGGGCTCTGTGCTGACAGCTCAAGAGCCTGGAGCCTGCTTCTGATTCTGTATCTCCCTCTCTCTGCCCCTCCCCCGCTCACACTTGTGTGTGCGTGTCTCTCTCTGACAAAAAATAAAAGTACAGAAGAACTTCGAGTTGATGTATTTAAAGGCAAGAATGCGCACAAACCCTATTTTTAAAAACAGGTTAATATTCGTGAAAAGCTCCTTCCATGAAAGCCTCTTTACATCAATACATAAACAGTAAAAACAGCACTCAACTATTTATTGAAGGTTTTGGAGGGGGAGGGCAAATTCAAAAGTATTCACTTACTAGCTCCGCTTCCAATTGTTCTATGGAAAAGCTGTGACATCCGAGGACCAAGAGGGCCAAACAGATGAGGGGGAAGACCCCTGGCCTCTAACAAAGCTAAAGAAAAAAGAAAGGCGGGAGGAATAATTGAATTATGAATGCAGTTGATCTTACCTAAAAATTTCAAGCAACTGATTCATCTCACATAACGGATTTAGACAATGTTACTTCCCATTTCTAACTTTAAGAGAAAGTACCTTAAACTTTCAAGATCATTCTTAAATATTAATATATAAGTTACAACACCCATGTGCCGCTCCACGGCATCTTAAGGTTTTATGGAGGTATTAAATATTAGTGCCAGAGGGGACTGTCTCAAATGATCCAAGAAAAACCCAGAGTACATATTTATTTTGAAGAAATTATAGGTTAAGTACCCTTGTGTTGTTTTCCCTGTAATATTATCTACCAATCAAACACTGGTCATGAGATCCTCTAAAAACATGAAAAATTATTTTTATAATGTCCGTAAAGAGAAAAAATTGGCTCACAAGACCTCTAGTCAAAAAGAGACTGCTGTAAAAGTTACTGTAGGAACTTAAAAGCGATCTGAAAGTGATTTATAAATAATGTTTCTTATAAGCCTCACACTGGGGTTCTAGCATATAAACCAACTATCTGAAGACAATAAAAATACATACCCATCCACCTGTAAAGAGTGTATACATAATATAAGGTTGCTTCTTCAAAAGCACAACATTAAAATACCTGGTGTTTATGTATACACTTCGCATTCATTTTTAAATGCTGACCAAGAACACAAAAGAACAAACACAAAAAGCACCCCACTGGATGTATTATGTTACCAGGCACCATGCAGCAATATACTCAACTATCCCCTTTTCAAGATCTTTCTTAATTTATTACCAGCTACACAAGCAAACATAATAAAGAACAATTTAAAAACATAAAAAATAAACATATAAGATTTTGTTTAAACAATAAAACTAAAGAGTGAGACAGATCATCTTCCAAATCCAAATCATCACTAAATAAGCAGCTTTTTTGGGGGGGGGGGGGGGGAAGTATAGGCATTGCTAGATTATGTTTAAATGAGCTTATCTGAATTAATTTCAACAAAGCACAGAAGTAACAGGCGGCATCTGGTAATGGCTTCTTGTTTCTTATAAGCTCATTAACCGTCTTTACCTTGTAATCGTCCCATCTCGGAATCATCGGATTCACTCTCCCCAGAGGTGGTCATGCCCACAGCCCCTGCAACAGAACTAGAAGCTTCAAAGGGAGGGAAAAAAGAAGGTGAGGGTTAGGAGAGGAATATTCACACTTATTATGCCTGGTTTATCTTAAAAAAAGAAAAAGAGTTTTACGGACTATAGTGAATCATGGCAATTAAATGTGTCTGCCCAATGCACACTCAACTGTTCTTCTAGATTTCATCCTGTAGCTTTTATGAACAAGACGGCTCAACTATCTTAGTGTTCAAGAAGCATAAAACTACAACCTTTACATCTCATTCATACACGGCTTTGACAGATTCCTCACGCCTTGTCCTGAACTCGCCTACCAAAAGTCCGCGAAGTTCATACTGCCAAAACCACTGTGGTATTTAACGGCTGGGCAATTAGTCACAAACAGAACAGAAAGCAAAACTGACATTTGGGGGACATGTTCCGTGTAGATGAGTGTCTTCTTCGGTCTAACTTATTTCTGGACTGCAGCCTTGACACAATCCCTTACACATTTTAAGGATGTGCAGATTACACGCTTATTTCCAGGACCAAATACTGAAGATACACATTAACGAACAGCCCAGCACTGAAATACAAAAGACAGGACAGCTAGGATGTCAGAACAAGTGCAGAAAAACAAGAGCTCAGATTTAGAAGGATTCTACTCCCCAAAAAGCTAACCTGAACAATGATTCGGTCTAAGCAGAGAGGTGGAGTCTGTTACGAACCTGCCCTGATGAAACACTATAGTCCTGTAAAACCAGCGGTTGTTCTGTTCCTCCTCTCCATGTCCGCTGAGTCTTTAAGCAGTTTTTCTACACAATTAACCCATGTTATGACCGCATTATCCACAATACCCTAAGCCCTGCACACTTGCCAGATGACGACAGGTCAGCCCAAAACAATGTTGCTGATTGTTAAAAGAAGCACAGAGATAACATGTGAATTTACAGAGCTTTTCTGAAAAGATGCTAACATACCAGCCACCAACTGTGTATTTTCTTAGTAGTTTTCTTCACACCTCATTAAGTATCTTCTATGATTTCACTGGGATTTTTAGAAAATTCATCAAAAAATGGGTGATTTAAGAACAAGAGTTCTCAAACTGCGGCCCACGGGCCAAATTCGATCCAGCACATCATTCCGTCAATAAAATTTTATTAAAACACAACCAAACTCATTCTTTAACAAGTTGCCTGTGTCTGCTTTCAGTCTACAACCACAGAGCTGGGTAGTTCCAACAGGGCTGATATAAAGCCTAAAATATCAACTGTCTGGCCCTTCACCAGAAAGGTTAGCAACCCCATGGTTTATAGTTACAGGCGAACCAGAAACGCTAATATAAAAGTGTATCAGAGCTTGACAAAATGCATACTTTGGATGAAGAAAAAAGAGTAACGACACTCTCTAATGCCACCTACACATGGCATGTATAAAATGCTCACCATACGCAGGCTGTGTCTGTTTCCTCACAACCATACAAGCAGGTATCGTGAGCTTTTTCACACATGTGAGCAAACTAAGGCCTTGTAACTTGGAGTGCACTTGCCCGAGGTCAGATAGCTAACGATGGAGCACAGATGCGAGCACAAGTGGTCTGACTCTTCATAGGCTGTTCTCAAGTACTGCATTCTATTGCCCCCCTGAATATATTCTGCAGTACTGATTTTTTTATTCCAGTACAGCTGCTTCTTCATGTTCAACAGAAATCTTGTTAACAAATACTGTTATTATATTTTTTTGATTTTTTTAAATGTTTCTTTATTTTTGAGAGAGAGAGAGACAGAGACAGAGACAGAGTATAAGCAGAAGAGGAGCAGAGAGAAGGAGACACAGAATCTGAAGCAGGCTCCGGGCTCTAAGCTGTCAATACGGAGCCTGGTGTGGGGCTCGAACTCACGAACTGTGACATCATGACCTGAGCCGAAGTCGGGACGCTTAACTGACTGAGCCACCCAGGCGCCCCAACAAATACTGTTAGTAAGGTCCCAATTATGACTTCATTTGTTAAAGTGACTCTTATGCTTGCTTTTAAACTTTTCCAAGTACGTGGAGAGCAAACAAAAAGCTTTGACAAATGAGGTAGATTTTTTTAAAATTTTTTTTTAATGTTTATTTTTGAGACAGAGAGAGACAGAGCATGAACGGGGGAGGGTCAGAGAGAGAGGGAGACACAGACCCTGAAACAGGCTTCAGGCTCCGAGCAGTCAGCACAGAGCCCAACGCAGGGCTCGAACTCACAGACCGTGAGCTCATGACCTGAGCCAAAGTCGGACGCTTAACCGACTGAGCCACCCAGGTGCCCCATGAGGTAGATTTTTTTAATGTACATTCTGGCACCACACCTTTAAGGAAAAAAAAAACCCAAAAATTCACTTGGGAAGGTAATGCTGGTTTTTTTAGTTTCTGTATTAGAGGGTCACCATAAGAAGAGGCAAGGATATTCTGATTTTTCATGGAAGTGGAGGGCCTGTTTTAACAGAAACCAGTCACTGAACCCAAAGGAAAAAAGATCCTTCGCCAGCCCACTGAAGGCAAGTATCAAGCATTAAGGTACTAAAGTGCCCTGTGAGAATCACAAAGTTAGAAAACCAGTCTGTGAGTAGCGGGTCTGTCAAGTCATGCAGGCAAGGAAGTGTCATCAACCAACAGTCAATGACAAAGTTCTTTAGTCGAGGCGTCAAACCTCCTTGGGCAACATGCACAAGGTCTCTCCTGATACAAATATAAAAACAAGACCATCAAGCAGAGAAAATGTGATGTCAGATTGTAAGAGGTGTCCATCTTTTTTTGCTGATGTTTACACCAGTTATCTCCCCCATCTACTCTTATCTCTCCCATCTTCACAGCACCTCGAAAGACAGTTTCTAATACACAGCTGAATGAAAACAATGGAAAAAATATTGTTTAAATTAGAACACAAGAAATTTATCCCAGAACCCCATGTTTTTACACTTTAACTGATAAAGCCTCTTATGCAGAAAGAAGTGATAAAATATTAGAAAGCTGACAGAGTTCAATTTTACTGGACAGGAACTTCCAAGGGTTCACCAGATACCTAAGTACAAGAAGCAACGGGAAGATGTTTTTCTGGAGCGTAATGAAAACTTTTGAGGAGAACCAAAACAGTCACTGTCAGTAATGTAATTCTGCCTTATTATAGGCCCTGGTATCAGGTGATACGGAAGCAATCTAACTTTTAGTGATTCTAAACAAAATTAGGAAGATAAAAACTTAAAAAACTGTGTTGCTTTCTTTTTACAAAATGATCCTGTTTATTTCTTGTGAAATTAAGATTCTCAATGCAAAATCGGGTGCCAGGACATGGGCTATTTTTCCTTGCCATCTGATTGCTTTGCAGGTGTAAGAAGAATATTTCTCACTGTGGTGTCTCTAGTATTTGCAAGACTTCACCAGCACTATGAAAAGGTACACAGTTCTGATAAAGTCAAAAACGAGACCCCCCCAACTCGTGGGCAAGCATGGAGAACACTTAACTTTCAACTCCAAGAGCTGGCATCTCTTCCACAAAGAGCCAAGAAGTTGTGCTCCATAGAACATTATGTTTCAAGGTGACCGAGCAGGCACACTGTTGTCAACAAATGTTCTTAAGAGTCAACAACACTGGCAAAGTCAGGGTGATATGAACAAGTTCGCCCAAGATGAAGCAACGTTTTCTTACTACACATGTAAAAAGAAGTAAGTTTATTTTACTGATTTCATTAAAATAGATCAGAAAGATGGGATCTCTATAAATAAGTAACACTGGGGATAAAAAACCACACCAAAAACACTGAAGAGATTAAACCAATCTCCTTAAATGAGTAAAAACATTATTTCAAAATAAATGTTTCCAATAAACGGCGTCTTCTACCAACTGTCTAAGAGCTTCCTGATAACGGATGCTTCGCGAAAGATGCTCTACGTTACCACCATGGATTTATATTCCGCACTAACTTAGAGGGTTTTATTTTTCCTTGAATTCCAATTTTGCATACTGAGAAACTAAAGCACATTGCACTGAAGACTTAAAGCTAATAAGGAATCTGCCTCTTTCCGCAGCACTACTGTAGTGAGCTGGCAGAGAAAGTATTCCTGCAGGATCCATAAGGCATCCTGCTTCCAAAATAAAATTAACTAGTGCTGCTCAGACACCAGTCAGCGTGCCACATGCATCTTTTACAGAAACTTGGAAAACACCTAGATCACACTGTGATTGCAAGTAAGAACGACAATGAACACAAGCCTTCGGGGGGCAGTCGTACCCACCTAATCCCTTGAAGGTTTTATCCTCTTAGGTATACATGCCAGGGATCAAAGTTTTACACACCACCTCCTCACTCTGGCCTCCAATTATATCCGTACGGATTAAACAAACTCTCGTGACTATGGGGGAAGCAGAATGATACAGCCTTTATAAATGCACCCTTATTTTTGAAAACCTGGATTTGGGAGCCCCACATCTCCAGGCAAGCTCAACTATCATGTGTCTCAGTTTTTCCTCGTTTCCAAAATTAGGGTAACAGCACTCACACCTCAGCATACTGTTTTGAATATTAAAAGAGAATATACATGGAGCTCTCAATACCCTGTCTGCAGCAGCCTACAACTTTATAAACGCTGGCTACAGTAATTCCTGTAACGAGTCCACTTTAACACCACGCTCAGCAGCGCCATTTGTGTTGTCCGCACGGGAACTGCCCCACTTCCATATGCAGATGCGAAATAAACACTAAGACATTGGGAAGCACAGCCCGTGTGGCATGAAGAGTTTCAATGAGTTGTACTACAATGGACTGGACTTTCCCTCAAATTTAAACTTTCAGAAAAACTAGTCTAAAGAAAAGCAGGTGAGAAAAGTCCCCTCCTACCAGAAGAAGTGCTTCAAGTTCACGGTTCCGTTTATCATACAAAAGCAAGAAAGACAGTGGCAAAAACGTTAAGGTGGACAGAAAGCGGAGACAAAAAGCACAAACCATGAATAGCTGCGGGCAAACCCGAAGCTTCCTGGCAAACTAGGACACAGGCTCCACCACAGGGATGAGAGAGAACTAGCACATATACTAACGTTACAGTAAGTGGAAGTGCTCTGTTAAAGTCAGTCCTTACCTAAACCTAAGCCCATGTGTATCATTCGGACATAAGGGACTCATCATACCCAAGTTCATAATGATAGACTGCGATATTTTTCCATCTGTACTTACCGTTAGTGAAAAATGCTCACAGCAAGCTACATTTTACAACTGTCATCCACAATTAACCTCTGAATTATTAGTCTCCTATTTGTATTGGTGATCAATACATATTTAAAGCTGAAAGGGGTGGGGGGCAGCCTAATTTTTGTTGTGCTGAGGTATCAAGAAGAATAAAAATAAGCCCATAAAAACATAAATAGCATTCTTCAAGTTCCTTCCAAACTGAATACTTCTTACTTTTTAGAGGCTACAACATATTCTACATCAAAATTTACACATATACGAAGAAGCAATTTAAGCCACATCCTTACATTCTGATTATAAACTCAAATTTTCACACAAACAATGGGCAACTACTGTATGTCCGCATGGACAGTGAAGAATCTTAAACAGAGAGTGACTTATCTTACCTAAAAGCCTTTTGAATGTAATCATCACAAACTTGGATTTGGAAAAGAATTAAAACAAAAACAAACGAACAAACCAAAAAACAAATGAATCCGACTAATCAAAAAAACCCAAACCTATAAAGTAAAGCCAAAGAGAACCAAAAGCTTATTTGATGGTAACATCAAGTATATTTCTGTCCCCTCTCTTGCATTATATTTGGTACGCCTACAAAGCAGTTGCTCTCTAAATAAATCTGTAAGACACATAAACGCATCTCGGGGCTAGAAGTGCCAATCTACCTGCAGCTCCCTGGGGGGTTTCGTCTGTCCGCGCAGCTGAAGAATTTACTGTCTCCTGGTTGCTTTCAGGGTCCGCCATTTTCTCCTGTCGACGAGCTTCAGCTGCTCCTCGTTTGCCCAGGCCAGAGCCCCGCCGACTGCAACAGAAAGATGCCATCATAGGCGGCACTACCAGTGACCAGGAGCAATGTCCACACAGCACAAAGCTCCAATGCATGGAGCACAAAGCCAGTTTCTTCTTTTTACATAAAAATTGTTGCAGAAAATCACTATGGGTAACAACCAGGACTTTGTATATTTAAAATTCTTCCAAGTTACGTCGCATTCACAATACACGCTTTTGTGTCGCTATGAGCTGTGGTCATCTTTACGGACAAAAATGATTTTTAAACACTTCAACCAAATGGAAAAGTGACTCCTGCTGAGAGAATTCAACCATTTGAAATAGATCCCTACTTCCAGGCTAAATAGTGGATCAATATACAGACTTTACACTTGACAATGAGGGGGAAGGAAAGTGGAAGACAAAAAGGTCGGGGCTGGGGGCGGGGGGAGGGTAGGGATTCCCATCACTAAGTTCCAGACAACTTTAATCATCAACAAAAAATAACTATTCCAATAATGAGCAAGAGTTCCATCTTTTAAAATAAGGATTAAAGGGGCGCCTGGGTGGTTCAGTCAGTTAAGCGTCCGACTTCAGCTCAGGTCATGATCTCGTGGTCAGCGAGTTCGAGCCCCGCATCAGGCCCTGTGCTGACAGATCAGAGCCTGGAGCCTGCTTCTGATTCTGTGTCTCCCTCTCTCTCTGCCTCTCTCAAAAATGAATAAATGTTGGAAGGAAGGAAGGGAGGGAGGGAGGGAGGAAGGAAGGAAGGAAGGAAGGAAGGAAGGAAGGAAGGAAGGAAGGAAGGAAGGAAGGAAGGAAGATTTAATATTTATAAATACATACAGATGACACTGAGGAAGACACTGGTTTCGGATTAAGTAACAGTGTAATATGCATCAGAACGTCAATCAATCATCTCTCATAAAGCAAGTAACATTTTACTGATAACAATATTTTCTATTTTAAAAGAGAAATCAGTAAGCAAATTAGGTAAAAACAAAAGATTTTTCCAGGTTATTACAACTTGGTACTGTTTAAATATGTAGCCTCCAAAGTACCTTAGGAAATGAAGAAAGACACTAAGGAAATGTTTTAGACCAAAGTCAATCTGCAGTGGAATTGGATGCTGGCTAGTAAAGAACAAGAAGAAGGCAGCAGGCGTAAGTGACATGGAAATGAAGGCTCTGAATCTCCAGACAGTGCTAGAAGAGTCTGTAATCCCCCCTACACGGGAATTTGCTTAGCCAATCTTCTCTTCCAGGGAAACAGCTCACTGCAAACCCAATTTACCAAGCTACCACTTAGTGGGATTCAAATTAATCCATCTATTTAACATTCAATTTGCACCAACCCCGTAACACACGCCATGCTGAACACTTGGGTGGCTGCCCTCAAAGAGTCACTGGTCTACAGAGATGAAGACACACCCGTAGCAGGCTATGAAAGCACTAAATTCAAGAGGCATCTCAACTAATTCAGAAAAAATTCGAGATGAAGAGCTCTCCAGGCAGGTGGCTAGCTTGCTTGTGTAGAGCATAAGCACGTACACTGTAAGTAACGTGACATGCTCTAAGAAAGTGGTCATGAACAGAAGGCAGCAAAGATGGGACCCTTAGATTACCTGACTTCACATCAACCTAAAATTAATTTTCAACCACAGCGAATTCAGTTTACCTCTCAGATGATAAACTCGGTAAAAACTGGATTCAAAATCTAGCCCAAAATAAGACAAACCCTCTGAGGAACTGAGACATTTTCTCAAAAGAGTTCTTGGAAAACTATGGCCAAGAAACCTCAAAAGCCAATAGGTACACTAACTCCACAGATTTTAACCAGTACATTAAATAATCCAGATAGAAGCAGAAAATAAGGGGAAAAACAGAGTTAAAGTGGCACAAGTCCTTTTCTTCTGACCTATAACAAGTCTCACTGTTTCCTTACGTCACCACTGGACCCGGCACTGAGAGCAGTCAATGTCTCTTACCTTAGAGCGGAAACAAGAGCTAAGCCCTTTTAGCTCACCTGAGGGAGAGTAGGGGAAAAGGACACTCAAACCCTCTGCCCCACCACTGTTTCGTGACACTTCGTAGAAAGAACAAACTACATATAAACGAGTGAATAACTAGCTTCGCAAGGGCATCTGAGCAACTGACCACGCCCCAAAATGTGAGGCAACTGTAAGAAATTTTTTTTAACTTTAACTTCAGATTCTCAATCAGTTAACAAAAGCATGTGACAAAACGCACCATGTCACACACAAAGGTAGTGGATTTCCTGAAAATGAGATCCCATCCAGCAACTGAGGGAAACGGGGACTGGAGTCCTGAAAAGCACACACGCAGAACCTACATCCGGCCTCCAGGGGTAGGTGTCGTCCTACATGTGAAAGTGAAGCATCTCTCTCCCCCTGATCCATTCAACTCCAGTGGTGCCCACATTTTCAGAAACTAAGTAGGCAATGGTACAGCCATTAAAACAGGCATCCCCTTTGATCCATTAATCACACTACCGGGAAATTTAGCTACCTTTACAAAATAACCCAAATCTGCATAAAGATGCTCATTAGAGATTTATTGGCCGACTGGAACTCTGAAAACAGCCTCAAGTCCAACTACTGGCAATAACTCTGTGAAAATGTTGTAGCAACAGAAGACAAGACAGATGGTTAAGAGTGTTGTCAAAAAATAGCATGAGGGGCGCCTGGGTGGCTCAGTTGATTATGCGCCTGAGTTTGGCTCAGGTCTTGATCTCACGGGGCTCATGGATTCGAGCCCCACGTCAGGCTCTGTGCGGACAGTGCAGAGCCTGCAGCCTGCTTCAGATTCTGTGTCTCCCTCTCTCTCTGCCCCTCCCCCGTTCACACGCGGTCTCTCAAAAATAAACATTAAAAAAAGTTGTTTTTTAATTTTTTTTTTTAAACGTTTACTTATTTTTGAGACAGAGAGAGAGCATGAACAGGGGAGGATCAGAGAGAGGGAGACACAGAATCTGAAACAGGCCCCAGGCTCTGAGCTGTCAGCACAGACCCCGACGCAGGGCTCAAACTCACGGAGCGCGAGATCATGACCTGAGTCGAAGTCAGCCACTTAACCGACTGAGCCACCCAGGTGCCCCTAAAAAAAGTTTTTTAAACTAGCATGAATAAAGCTTAGCAAAAACATATAAACACTGGGGAAGAATTCATTTACGTAGGACAAATAAATGTCAAGTGAAATTTCAGTAAGTTTTGAAAACTTGTAAAAGGAAAGATTTTGATCAGAGTGGAACAAAAGACAATGAACTGATCATAAACCGGGAAAACCCCATGTGTTACCTGGCACTAGCACAGGAGCCCGTGGTCTTTTGGCGTGTGCTCCGCCTCAAACTGGGGAGCTCAGCAGGTGGGGATTCACTGCGCTTCTTGGTAGATTTTCTTAAACCTATACGTGTGAAATGTAAGATCAGTTTTTGTTTTTAAAAGTTATCGTAAATTAAAAAGTACAAAACTCTTCAGGTCAGAAGACCGCAGCATCTTCCGTGGCCTTTGTAGCACTCTACCAGGGTCCCTTCCCAGTTGGCCTTTACTTACCTGACTCATACTGGCAAAGCTAATATGGGACACGCCGCACTCCTGGTCAGGATAGAACCTTCTCACGTAAGCCCAACCTTGACTCAAGCTATGCCACCCCACGAGTGACAGTACTTCTTCTCTCATCCTATCCCCTTAAATGTTCTGATCACAGCTGTACTGCTCCGCTAACTAAGCCAAGAGATTTTCTTTTTCGCATTTACTACGTATTTCAGGTTTTTACTAAATTGAAAAAATTGCCTAAATTTCATTCTCATTCATTAGCACTTTATTACATGACTTTTAAACTGTCCCATTTCACCTAGTTTATACAAAGTTCGTCAATTAAGACTACGAGAGCACAAAATGCTTTCTTTGCTTTACACCACCCCATCAACAAGGAATATACACTGGAGCTGAAGGCTATTAGGATGTCCAATATACAGATAACTGGATAATTCGGGGTCAAAAGTAAATCAAGCACACTTCACATGTCATTCTAGAAGCTAACGGATACCCTTTATAGGGTTAACAGAACCTAAAAAGGTACAGCATTAGGTAAAGATAAAGTTTATTACTATTTTATAAACACCGGTGAAGCAGTCAGAGTGCTGTTCGCCCTCCTCCCCCGCCCCCCCCCCCCAACAATGTTATCAACCATGATGACACGCTGGGCAGTGTGCTGGACCTAAACAAAGATCTCCAACAGTGAAAGGTCTCCAAAGTCAAAAAGCCTATTTCCAGGAGAAGTACAGCATCATCTGACAGAGCCCTTACCTTTATCTGAGACTAATTACATAGTAATAACAACTCTCTAGCTCACTTGTTATTTCCCCCAGGAAGTTCTAATGTTTTGGACCATTTCACTGCTTCACAGTGGAAAGATCAGAAATTCCTTACTCCCGACTGGGATAAAAACACCAGTAACGGCCTGGATAAGAGGTGGTAAAAAAAAAAAAAAAAAAAAAAAAAAAAAAAAAAAAAAAAAAAAAAATTCCAGACATCTTCTTGGGCTTCTAGCTGCTTAATTTAAAACTTCAGTTCATTTAACTTGGGATGGTCCCCATACCACGTATAATAAAAGTTGCTAAGTAAAAACAGCACACTACTAAAGAATCTTTAAATACCAAACAGAAGTTATGAAGACAAAAATCGATGTTTAGACAGGCATTATTACCATTTAGAAATCTAAACCAAACCTTCCACGCCTTTTTTTGTCTCCCCCAGAGTAACTTTTGGGAAACTTTATGCAGACTCCTCAAACTAGCATAAAAGGACCAAGCTGAAACTTTAATTGGGGAAAGACTGGCCTAAGAGTTTCTTAAATTTCAACTGTGTTTTTAGACTGATTTTCTACACAGCATATCACCACAGTTCCTCAGTGCGATCACCAATCTATGCCTGATACCCTACACTAGCTTTCCTCTGCCTGGACATACACCCCGTCATCTGCAAGACGAACATGGCACGTGGACAGATTATGGGACTAGCTTCATGTATTCAGCTAATTACTATCACTCTTTTTTAAATCTGTAAACAACTCAAATTATTTTTAAATAATGTTTTAGAAAATATTCCACTCATCTATTTGAATTGTGCAACTAAGTTAGAATAGACTAAAAATGTACAATTTACAGAAAAAAATGAGTGCACATTGCATATGAACACTCCACAGTGTTTTTACCTTTAAGGCACTTTAAAATCCCTTGTTATTATCACTAATATTACTTAATAGGATACTAAATGTCTTTATACATATACCGTGATACAGCAATGGACATTAGCAAACATTTTTGTATCTATTCAGTGACATCCCCCCAAAAATTCAAATAAACACACCGTGGGTTACTCCTATATCGCTAATGAGGTGACAGTATAGTTTTTGACCAAACTTTTACACTTTCACTACCCATGTCCTATTTTAGACTTCAGTGTTTAACTTTCTTTTAAATAATTTCACGCATATGTCATTTTCTTATGATAAAATGTACTCACTTTAAATTACGGGGTTCAATATGGAGTTTAACAAACGTACCGACCCATATAACCAACACGACAATCAAGACAGGACATCTCCATCGCTCCAAAAAGTCCCTTCATGCTCCTTGCTAATTCCCTCCCCCACATTTCGGACCTCTGGACACCACTCGTGTGCCTGTCTGACATTACCGCCTCTTCTAGAATTTCATAAAAATGGGAGTCCTATAGTATTTTGGAGATGAATTCACATTGCTGCACAGATTAGTAGTCCATTCCTTTCTATTGTGGAGAAGTATCCCTTCGTATGGATATGCCACAATCTTCATCCATTCTTGGTGTTAAAATTTAAGAGAAATGTACTAAACTGCAGAAAAGTAGGACAAAGGAGAACCACAACAACAGAGTAGATATTTTTAACTGGTATTATAATCCTGCTGCAAAGTAAAATGGCTGTCAGGCTACGTGACATGACTCCATTTAGCCTGATAAACTAGGAGAACCCCAAACGTTCTGTTTTCTGAAAGGCAATCCAATGGTAAAGGAGCTGCTACACGTAACGCTTTGGTGGAAAAGAGGTCTCTATCTGTAACATTACCTGAACCCAGGATGGGAGACAAAACTAGCGGTTGTATGTATCTCTGCTCCAAAATCTGGAACAGGGGAACACCTCACAATTGGCAAAGAGTGATAATTAATAACTTTTCAGTATTTCTAGGCAAATCAAGTCAAATGTTGGAAGAACTCTACAAATTCTCCCTCCCAAATCTAAAACATGTTAAGATTAGAAATGTCAAACTTTTGGGGAAAAAGGAAAGCTGAAGTAGTGTGGCAAACCAAGCCCTGCCTAGAAATGGGGAGAGCTTAACTTTCTTTTGGCCATTCAGCTGTCAGTTCTAGAACATTTTTTTTTTTTTAATGAAGTATACCATCAAGCCTCTTCGTTTTTAATGTTTATTTTTGAGAGACAGACAGAGATGGGGGGGGGGGGGGGGGGGGAGGGACAGAAAATCCAAAGCAAGCTCTGCTGCTGACAGCAGAGAGCCCAATGGGAGGCTTGAACTCACAGACCACGAGATCACGACTGAGCCAAAGTCGGGATGCTTAACCGACTAAGCCACACCCAGGTGCCCTAGAACATACTGTCTTCACAATATTAGACTGGCTTTAGTTTTCAAAAGCACTTTCAGATATAAAGTTATGATTATTCTTACTTTTCAGACACAAAAATATTAACTGACTTGCTTAAAGGTGCGTAACCCAGCCAACTACACAATTCCTAAGCTTATTTTGAAGCAAAACAGAGGCTACTACATCTTTACTATACTTCTGGAAAAGCATTAAAAATACAACTCTACCTCCACAATAGTGATTTGTTCAAGGCCCAAGGAAATGAGGGGCTTTCTTACAAGTGAAATTCATTAATGACTGGATAGTAATCTTGGGGAAGGTAGGGTGAGGGAGCCGTAACACAGGCTGGGGACCGACAGGGTCATCTTTATTTGAGCTCCTGGATCCAGCCAAGCCTGAAGCAAACCAATCTCCTGACTTTACCAGTCATGTGAACTGACTGGTGTATATATGTATGTATGCCACATATCATATAATATATGTCATAGAATATATTTACCTTATATAACACAGAATTATATTAAAATTATAAAAAGGCAGGTGTTGACAAATTGCAGCCTATGGGCCAAATCCATCTGGCAGCCTGTTTTTGTGCATCCCACTAGCTAGGAATGGTTTTTTACATTTTTAGTAAGTTGTTAAAAAGAAGAAGATGTGACAAAAAACTTATGTGGCCAGTAAAACCTAAAATATTTACTTTATGGGACTTTACAGAAAATATATACTGACCTGGACTTTGAAGAGAAAAAGGAAGAACAGTATATGGACTCATCTAAACTTCAAAAATCAGTTAAATATTTAAAAAATAAGAACTTGTCCCCCACCCAAAAGAAATAGAAACAAAAACCTCTTGTGTTTTAAAAAGAAAAACAAGGGGCGCCTGGGTGACTCAGTTGGTGTCCAACTTTGGCTCAGGTCATGATCTCACAGTTCATGAGTGCAAGCCCTACGTCAGGCTCTGTGCTGACAGCTCAGAGCCTGGAGCCTGCTTCCGATACTGTGTCTCCCCCTCTCTCTGCCCCTCCCCAGCTCGCACTCTCTCTCAAAAATAAACATTAAAAAAAATTTAAAAATAAAGAAAAGAAAAATAAGACTAGAAAAATAAGCTAAGCAGTATTAGCTTCAGTCCTGATTTTTCTAGATTATTAGTTATTTTGATTTTTTTACTTCTAAGTTTTGCAATATTCCCACAGATAACAAATACATCTCCATTTTAAAATGGAGTAGACAAACCAATGAATAAGGTACACAAACCAGTATTTTAAACAAGGGTATTCAAAATCAATTCATTTATATTTAAAGGCATCAAAGGATGATAGGAATGATTTTTGAAACACAAATCCCCAATTTGTTTATACATTTTAAAAAGCTATGAAGTATCCATTTATTTACACATGTTGAATCTATTTCAAAAGGTTTTCAGAAAGACTTGTTTTTTCTTCATAAAGAGAAAAACCAAAAAAAAAAAAAAAAAAAAAAAAAAAAAAAAAAAAAAAAAAAAAAAAAAAAAAAAAAAAGAGAAAAACCAAATAACATGACTATTATCCCACATGGAGACTTCAATTTAGAATCCTGCAATGGGGCCATTTTGCTACTGGAAAAAGTGAACCAAATAAAGAGAATTAACTAACAGTGGGAATATTTTCAGTAACTAGATCTTGATCCCTTCAGCCAAAACAGAATTGTGAGAACCTGGTATAACTTGGTAGTGTTGCGTGTCTACTTTCAAGTATATACATCCCTACTAATTAATGGTTACTTTAC